TTCTATTATGTATGTATTTAACTTTTATTAATAATTTTCATACGTTTAAATTTTAAAAAACGACTTTTAGAAATCGACTGTTATTTGCTTGTTTTATCATTATATTATTATTCTTAGAATTCTTAAAATAGTAAATTAGTAAATTAAGCAGAGATTAAAATAAATTTACATTAGTGAAACCGGATGCTAATAGTTAAGTGTATATATTAAGTATAGATACATGTCGCGTGTTTAAGATAAAGTGATTTTCGAAGAAAGTTTTGTGAATCCTTGCCGCGCATTCTGAAATATAATTAAAGAAATGTTGAAATTACACACAGTAAATAATTTTCTTTTAATTTTACTTTTCAGTAGAAAGATTTTGCTATCATGGAATATTTCACTGAAAAAAGTTCTCAATTACGAAATATTAAAAATTACGCAATTAGTATATATTCATATTATAAAATCGCTTATTCAGGCTAAAGTAAATACTTCTTCATTGTTTTGATAATCATGTGTATCTTTACCTCTTTTAAACAGTATTTACAGAACATTAATTAATGATTTCACCTGCTAAAACTTTTATGAATGAAATATCAATGAGCTCGAAGCCTTATGATTAATTAATCCGTAAAAAATGGAGGCTTTCAGGTTACATAAATATATATATAGCTTATCTCTATTCATGATCGGCGCAATAACAAACGCGCACACGATACCGCACATTCGTCGCGAGTTAAGTCTTAATCATTTCATCCGTGTTTAATCGATCAGCACGCGTGAAACTCGATCTTTATAATCGACAATCGGTAGAGCGTAGGCGGTTTCCAGATGAATGCACGCGACGGCCATCGAGGAAAAAACTAGATCTAGACTTAATTGTCGTGCAATTAATGTCGACCCGTAGATTTTCTGGAGCGGAAACCACGAGTGACATGCATCGGTTTGCCACACATATCATTGCGCTGCGTATTTTGACCTCGCTTTAACATACGCGAAGTTTTAATTGATTAGGATTTATTGTGTCCTTCACAACGAAATTTGGTTCTTCAAATGAAAAAATATAATTATACATATATTTTTATCCAAAATAAGTAAATAATAATTTATTAATTATTAAATATGAAGTTTCAATTCTTGATATAGTCTTAGATTTAAATAAAAAGACAAACAGGAACAGGAATATAAGGAATGAAATTTAATAAATTGGAAAGATAATCTCAATAACTGAAGAAATAAATATTCTTAGTATTTTAATTAACTTTGTCTTCAAAATTGTCTTCTAGATGCAATAAAATATAATTACTGATTGGACTTAGGTTTTCCACTTAGATATTCGCACAAAGTTTTAAATTATTTTAAATGTATAATTTTGAAATTATTGTTGGATTTTTATTTTTAAAAAATATTTTTGACAGAGTAATTTTAATTG